TTTAATAGAATCAAAGTCGCATAATAGAAAACGCGAGAATGCACACATAAAAGGGCCAAACCGGGTCACACTCATTTCAGACTAATGGGCTGATAATTTGGGGCCTCATCGTTGGGCTTTAACTGAAGATGTTAAGCATACATAATAACACACCCGATTTTGTACATTGTTATTTCATGATATTGTACTATATAAACTTCATATAATGTCAACAATATTTTTGCATTAAATATTTCGAGCTGAACAAGTGAATCAATATTTCCCAGCCGTGTTTTGTCTAGCACTTTCAATTCTGGTGTCCTCCTGCGATGACTGCCTCGCACGCGGTAACGAAAGCCTTGTTCTCAAACGAGTTCCATTGCACATTCTTTCGAGAGGGTAATTCGTTTTGAACAAGAGCGGCGCTAGAGGAAGCCGTGTGCGGATAGTAACCCATTTACAACAACACAGTGGAAAAAAATGTTTCAGTCCAGAGTAAATTTTGTGTGTAGGTATGGGTGTTCAAACACCCCTCAGTGAGAGATATCAGCTGGCAAGAAAACCACCACCAAGAGGCTGATGTGGTCTATTATCAATGAATAAGCCACAAAGGAACAAAAATAAAAATCCCTTTTTAAAAAATAAAAATTTATACATTTATTAATGAATTTTATTAGAAAACCTGTTATTTGTGTTTTTAAATTGAGCTATGTTTGTACTTTTTAAGAACTAATACGGAACCTTTCATTTGTTAGATTAATATTTTTCATTAAATATTAAAAGTTTAAATATGGTATGGAACCGAATGGTTGGGTTCCAGTTCGGTTCCAAAATTAAATTTGTACCTCAGGTTCCATCTACAAAATAGTCAATAATTCTTAATCCCATATAGTACTCTTTAAAATTGGACCTGGATTGAACCGTGTCAAGGCCCTAGTCTTGAGAGACCTACATCCATCTTTACATCTTGTCAAAGTGATAAACTTTTAGATGGGTAGTTTAACAACAAACATACCGTTTAGGTTTGCTTCTAACACATTGATGGAAGAAAATAGAAAGAATTACGGTTGCAAAAGATATATAAGAAATTATATCATTCGGAAAAGTTGTTAGAATTCATTTAAGAAATAAAATTCTCGAGAATATAATTTGGAGTTTTCATATTTAACCATGATCTCAGTTGTGTGACAAGTTATGAAATATCACCACAAATTGACAAATGAACTCCAATTTTGAATTTTTGAAAGTGAGCTCGTTTTCATCATAATTCATTCTAAAATTGGACTCTTGCAAGAAATAAAAATAGTCAATCCATTTCATAGTAAATCAAAGGTATTAACTGAATGGGAAATTACAAAATTTCTGGTTTTTCAAAATGGAATTGCTGCATTTTGATAGAACATACCTGATGAAAGCCAAGATCTTCCTTCACAGGCACCCCAATGTTTCTCATCAGAGCCGTCGAACAATGCATATCAATATCATGATCAATATGCAGCCGTCTGAAACCCTAACAAGCTCCACCTCCAAAGGGTTGCTAATCAAAAAATCTCCACCAATATAGACCAGGGTGTAAGAATGCATAACATCTTGCTCTATACTCTTCCAGTTTCCACCAAAGTTCATCTGTTTGATCATAGTTAGCCAGCATTTTCCACAGATTCTCTGTCAAACACACTGTATAAGGTCATCTTAATCCACCTGGCATTTCCTAACCCTGGTTCAAAATTCTCTTTTACAATGTGCACAAAGTGTATCTCTATTCTTGATCGGTACCAGCTCATGTACTCGAACCTAAAAGTGTGTTCCAAGACTTGTTATGACATCGTGAAGTCTCGGGACCATGGCTCATCATTGATGGATACTACTTCGTGCTTGAAAATTTTGCTGAGATTTTATCAACTTTTCAACCGCGTATTTCATTAACTTTTATTAAAATATGCTAAAACTTTTATAAAAACTTTGTCAAATAACCCCTTCCTATATTTGTTTAGAAAAGGGGCACAAATTGTTTGTGTAGGAAAGCCGGAAACATCTTGGTTGCCGGGAATAGGGCTAATGTAGTAACCACAATGTATGAATAATTTCATGAGAAATGATTGTTATGTCAATGAACAAACTTAACAATATTGAACAGCACAGTTCTATGTTACAGAAATTGCATCACTTCATACCAATACCAAAATCGCATTCTTCCTACAATAAATTTGCAAAATTTTGATAACTTAAACTAGAAAAAGTCCTCCAAATCCTAGTTACACGCTTCTGAAAAACTCAAGGTAATTCCATTTTCAGCAAGCTTTCCCATGTTGATACCATTATATAAAATATATATTCTATGACTGATAACACAAATTAATTAATCATTTCTTATCAAGCGTGGATACTCAAACTTGATGGAACAGCTGATGTTCTTAGCTTTTATTAGACATATATATAGCACATATTCATGTAAATTCAAAAATACATTAAAAAAAAAAAAAAACATTAGCTACATACATCACTAGAAGCATATGAAAGGAAACTGATTATATACCAGCAAAAATTGAAAAAAAACTAACCATAAAATTAGTCTTCTTTCTGCCATCGCGAATCTCACTTGATTTTCTTGAAATAATATAATAAGTTATCCTTTTCCTTATAAGTGGATAATTTTACGCTTGAACTATGATCCAGAAGTATATTTTACCAGATTCAAAACTATTGCTTTGAGGATGCATCATGATCAGGTTCAGGCCCTAACCGAAGTTCAAGGTCTACTTCAGCCTGCGTAGAACCATGGCTAAGCACCCGGCTGCTCTCCATATGCTCATCAAAATGACTGTTTTCTCCTTCATCATTTCTAACCAATGGTGCCTCAGTAAACAAAGCTAAACCTTGCACAGTTTGAGAATTTTCAAAAGGCTCGACTGCTGAATCAACTTCTCCAGACGAAATACTGGCTGTTTTCGGCGTGTTCTCATTGGCAGAAGCCGGAGGACTATCAGCAGAATCTATTCTCTTGATGTCCAAAGAAAGAAAGTCTTGGCTGGAAAACTCTTTAAGCTTGGCTCTGTCTCTTCTATGAATGTTCATATGCCCTCCTAGTGCTTGTGCATTAGAAAAACCTCGTTTACAGAAAGTGCATCTGTAAGATTTAGCATGGCCTAGAACTTGAAGATCATCACTCGACATTGTTGGCTCCAAATTTTCTGTGCTGGATGGATTAATCTCCATTTTCAAGTGTTGGTCCAGATGATCATGAAAAATATTTAAGGAACTAGGGATACATAGGAAGAGTTTAGGTTTCACGAATAAAGGCGGTCAATGGTCGGCAATAAAAATTTTCATGTGTGTTTTTGAGAAAAACTATAGCGAGCGTGCTAATATTTTTTGCAAGGATATAACTTAGTTGTTAAATGATAAAAATAACACAAATCTAGATAAAAAGTTGACCAAGTTGTTCCCATAAAATATACTCAACTATGAATACTTACAAGATATTTACTTTGTTGGTTTGTTAATAAAAAATAAAGTTATTTATTCAAAAGAAACTATCAACAGTGCAATGAAATGTAACCTTGTCATTAAACAATAAAAATCCAATCCATTATTCAACTGTTTATTCATTCGGTCGGTCTACAATGGCAACATATGATCAGTCAGCAGTTTTTGTTAGATTACTGGTTTGAAGTGTCTAAAAAATTGCTTGTAGAAGGTGTAATATGTTCACGCAGACTAATCAGGATCTTGAATTGTTTATTTTTATGACATATAAAATACGAAAATAGAGCGAAATGTAATAAGATTTATAATTAATATGATTTAATTTCGACTGTCTATCAGAGCAAATTTCATTTGTTTGAAGTGAAAATTGTAGTACTTTGTCGTTATAATCTGAAATAAGGACATGGCATGATGCTATAACGACATCTTGGTTAGTGACACTTCTTGTTAATTGCAAGGTAATTAATAAGTTAATTGGAGACGATATTCTTGGCATTAAACAGACAAAAATAATGGAAAAATGAATGATATAAAACGCGTGCTTTAGATTAGGGAAGCACGCCCGGATTAAATTAGTTCTCGGTTTAACTAATTGCTTTATGAATTTTAATATTTACTTACTTTGTTAATAAGTTAATTTCATAGTTTAACCTAGACTTAATTTGATAATACAGTAAAATCTTGATAAATGAATGTTCGATAAATTAATAATCTCGCTTAAATAATAAAATTATTTGATTCTGACTTCGACAGTGTACTAAATTAGTAATTCCCGTAAATGCATAAGATAATATTTTTTTAAACCATTTAAGGCCCAACGAGTATATAAAATAATAAGTACTTAAATTCATATTAATACAAATTAACAAAGGGTAATTAGCAGAAACGGTCCATATCGTTTACATTCATTGTTAAAATAGTCCCTATCATTTTATTTTAGGGTAATTAGCAAAAATGGTCCGTATCGTTTACATTCATTGCTAAAATAGTCCATATCGTTTTAAATTAGATATTTATACCCTTATTTCAAACTTTTGTTGCGGAATTGGTCATTTTCATCCACATCCGTTAAATCCTCTGTTAAATGAGGCAAAATGGTTTTGAATTTTTCTTTTTTTTTGTTTCAATTTTGCGGGATTATTAAGGGATGTCAAACGAAGTCGAAATATTTCATTCTTAATACAATTTTGAAGTACTCACGACCTAGTTTCCTCCACCCCTAATGGCGTGTGAAATGGTCAATCGTAGCGAAAGTTACCATTCGTTGAAATTTGCCATTCCAAATTATATAAACGATTTTTCTTATTTTTGGCTCAATTTTGCGGGATTATTAAGGGATATCAAACGAAGTCGATATACTACATTCTTAATATCATTTCGAAATACTCACAACCTAGTTTCCTTCATCCCTAACGGCGTGCGAAACGGCCAACCGAAATGAAAGTTACCATTCATTGAAGTAAGTCATTCCAAAATATATAAACGATTTTTCTTATTTTTGTCTCAATTTTAGAAGATTATTATGGGATATTAAACGAAATCAAAATACTGCATTCTTAATACCATTTCGAAGTACTCACGACCTAATTTCTCCCATCCCTAACGGCGTGCGAAATGACCAACCGTCACGAAAGTTACCACTCGTTGAAGTAGGTCGTTTCGCAAGCTGTCAAGGATGGGAGAAATTAGGTCGTGAGTACTTCGAAATTGTATTAAGAATGCAGTATTTCGACTTCGTTTGACATCTCGTAATAATCCCACAAAATTTAGACAAAAATAAGAAAAATTTAAAATCATTTTGCCTCATTTAATGGAGGATTTAACAGAAGTGGACGGAAATGACCAATTCCGCAACAAATGTTTGAAATAAGGGTATAAATATCAAATTTAAAATGATATGGACTATTTTAGCAATGAATATAAACATGGACCATTTCTACTAATTACCCATTAACAAACGTTAAATTTGACAAAAAAAAAAATTTCAATTCGTCTCTTTAATAGTATAATATAATAAAGTTATAAAAATATAAATACTCTAAATTAATGAATATTCATTTATCAATAAATAAATAAATTATTTATTTATCGATAAATTAATAACCCCTCTAAAATAATAATTTGTATCGGTCCCGACATTATTATTTTGTGAAGGTTTTACTATAAGTAGTTTTTAGTTTAACCCTAGATGTTAGAAATAGCATGTGCAATCTCATTAGATAATCTTTTGAATGAATGTATGTTTTTGCATATGAATTCGGATTAGAATGGGATCAGGTGATGCCTAGAATATTTTGATTTATCTTGAAAAAAAAATTCAAATAATATAGGATTATCGATTGTTACATACACTTGAAGAGAGCTAAACTGTATAAAGTTAAAGAATTAAATAGATGCCAATATGTGGATTGTAAAATTCAATACATTCATTACATAACTTGACAAAAATCAAACGTATTTACATAGCTCATAGGTTGATTTAGGATAATCACGAATGCATATAATCTCTTTTATGTCACTTATATTCAATTTGATAAAAATTAATACACTATAATTAGAATTTATTTTTCATGGGATGATAACTCAACTCACTACAATATTACTTGTCAATGATCATGTTTGCTTGTGGGATTTATCCGAACAAGGATTAATATAAAGAAAGTGATCTTCTAAATGAAAAACTTAAAAGATGATCATTTCTTCACTTTTGTCATAAGAATATGGTTATTTCGAAAAAAAAAAAAAAAAAAAAAAAAAAAAAAAAAAAACTCCTTGAAGTACCATCTACTTTCTTAATGAAAAACTTAAAAGGGAGATTATTTCTTCACTTTTGTGATAAGAAAGATGTTTATATCGAAGAAAAAAAAAATTCTTGAAGTGCCTTCTAATAAATTCCATAAAGTGTTGTCTGTTATTTAATTAATTCGAAACTATTTTTGAGAAAAAATATTTTATTTCACATTTCAAATATATTTATACACAAGTGATATTGAAAAGAAAAAGACAGTCCATGAGCATGTTGCTACAAATTAACCGACTATTTCATCATCAATTCAGTACAAAGCATGGCTAAGAATACCAAACTAATGCAAAAAGAACACGTGGAGCAGATAGGTTAATAGTTGATAATGATCCCACTGTGATTAACATTATAATACTGTGTTTTTTGCTTAAATATGTATATTTGGCCTGCTCAAATACACCTAATTGGTATGCCAACTTGACCTCACGATGCATGTGTACGTAGGACAATAATAAATATCTCCCCTTCACTTTCATGCTTGATTTTCTAAATTTTTCCCCAGATCAAATTGAGTTAATGAATATTTTTCTTCTCCTTTTCTTGAAGTATTATTTTTTCTGTTATTGGAGTAAGTTTAGTTGCTGAAATGTGAAACTATGAGTTGGACAAATTCCAAAATTTGTTAGAAATTTTAATTCTACTTTTATTTTTGTTTATGTCATAAAACGGATTAGTCGACCTGATCTACAAATCTATTTGAACTCTCAACGAATTCCTAGAATTTTTCCCGAATCTCATAGACATGTCTCATCATTCGTGGGGGATCGCCAGGATGTTAACTTAGTAAGTTCAAAGAAAAAGAACCCACAAGTTTACATATATTGTGCAATTATTAATAAAATTACATATTAATGGAACGTAAGTATCTTGAGATTTGTGTGTTCTTTTGGAATTTTGCATCTTGCAAGTAGGGTGGTCAATTTGGACCCAAACCGAAATTTAATTTCCAAACATGAATCATGGACCAAGCATAGCCTTCAATGTACATGAGCTTAATTTGGATCGACATTGGGGCCGACCTTGTTACCCGTGATTCCTTCAAAAGATCAAGTAAATGATGGTTGTTTGGCTGTACTATATAATTAGATTAGATTTACCTTTTAAGTTATTTATTTTGTCAAAAACAATTTTCGGAGTTATTCCTATAAGTAACTAACCAATAAAATTTTCAGATGCGTTTTAAAAACTAACTTTAATGAATAAAAAATTATACTCTTTTTAAAAATTTGAACTTTAGTACAAGGTTGCTAACATTTTCTTGTGTTTTCCAATGTTGTAAAAAAATTGTTAAGTATTTTGATGTCAAACAAATCCAGTGCGATGATGAATTTGTCGGATCCAATTAAAATCATATGATTCGTTTGGAATCCATTATTGAGAATATTTTAAATAGTTAACCCAAAACACATGACTCATAACCCACGAAGTGAAGTTGGACCAAGAGTTGCATTTAGGGCCCAACCCATATACTTGACCTAAAATGTATTGTATATATATTTGTGCCCTTTACCCTTTAATACAATACATACACACGGCTTCCTCACTGTGATTTTGCTGCCTCCTACGTGCGGTCTCTTTTGTGAGACCTTCTCTGTCTTACCTTGCCAACATCTTGCTCGGCGACTTGGCTACTTGGTTCGATTTCCTACTGCTTCAATTTCCCCCTGCTTCGCTGCCACCTGCTGCCTTGCTGTCCTCGTGTGTGACAGTCTTTGCGTGATTCCTTGGGAGGTTTTCTTCGTGCTTCTGAGTGTGATTCTTTGTCCCTCTCTAGTAAAATGGATTTGTCTGGTTTTGAGTCATTAATCTGAGCCCTGCCCAATCCACTTTTGGGTGCCAGTCTTCGTGAAATTGAGAAGGAAGTGTTTATTTTATATTCAAAGTTTGATTTCATTGTTATTACTTGATTTGGAACTTACTTTGTTTT